TACTGTTTAACTGTGAAGAACTAGAGCTGTCTTCATCTTCCTCGTCTTCTTCCTCATCAAAATTCATGCTACTTGAAATGCCTGAGGAGAAAGCAGTGCATTTATATGAAATACGAATTCATTAAGGCTGTCCATACTTGCTGTAGAACATCACCTATTATACTGTGGCACCCTTAGGCTCAAAGGTGAGAGACAGTGTGTGTGAGGGAGGTTGACTGTGCAAGGCAGTGTACAAATACGTGGGGGAGACAGCACCTGCCCTGAGAAGCCAAAACATTTCAGCAAACAAGAGAGGAAATATCATGGTTTCCAGTCCATAGAGAAGATCAAATTACCCAGTGATACAGTTAGGAATTAAATTCAGCTCTTCTTCATCCAGTCAAGTACTTCAAACACAACACAAAATCTTAAACCTGAAATTGGAGCTGAGTGGAGAACCTATGACCACCACTTGGAAACCTTAACAATTAAAACACAAGCCCTTCTACAGCACACTTTTAACCTTTCCTAAGTGATCTGATGAAGACCGGATCTTAGACTGAGAAGAAACATTCACATCAAGGTAATGTTTTCATGCATATTTATTTCATGTAAAAACCAGTATCAGCCCAGGCTAAAGAAACTGCCTTGAAGCACTTAAAAATCTGACTTTACAAGAATTCAAAACCTCAGACACTTCAAAGGGAAACACAATTTTGAACATCAATAGGACTTAGCAGCAGAAAGCATCAATGGTGGGACATTTGCCAGGCCTACTTTTTCAAGGAGCATCATGCAGATGAAGCCACCCCGTATTCAGGTTCAAGTCTAAGTTCCACATATTGAAGGCTAACTATGCAATATTTTTTTCTCTTAAAAAAAAATATAAAAAAATAAATCACTTGGTCCAAAATTTCCACTGCTGGTAAGTTCAATGCAGAAGGATAAATGAAATGCAAAGATTTCCAGAGCCAAGCAGCATGGGCACAATTAACTTTTTCCTTCTGTACTTACCAGGAACATGATCCAGGGCGACAAGACTGGATTGGGAGGTGGAAGAGGACCAGGATGTATTTGCATGGGGATCTGGGAAAGGAAAAAATCCATGGGCTTGATTCTGCAAACCCTTAATTGAGCCTAACTTGCCAACAGGATTCCGCACAGGGCTAAAGGCTTACTGGATGGGGCCATAATGCTGCTGCCTTCATTCTCAATTATGGATATTTTATCTTTCTGCACAATCAAATTCGCTTTCTACCTGCTTATACCTGCTGTCACCTTCTTTTTTAGTACTTTGAATAATGTCAAAAAGCCCTGGATCACAATGCTGAATTGTCATCATCCATGTTGAATGGTTATGCCACAAACCCTTTTGTGCATGGTAGGTTTCTGGCCTACTTTTGAATTCTAACACAAAAAAAACAACCAAACAGCCTGATCAAAACAAGTGATATACACAGATTCTGCACAAATATTAATTCAGTAATATTGAAAAAAGTATTCAGACTAATATTCAGATGCCCTGAATTCTACCAAAATCCCTGTGCCCAGCATGTCCTCATCATCTTTCTCAGGCTCTCTAAACTGTTCTTCTGGGGCTTCCAGGGCTACGCGCAGAGACTTTCATGTAGCTTAGTCTTTTGGAATATGAGCTTAGTCTGCAACAATCAGAAGCTGAACCAAACTAATGTACAGAAATATAAACATTAGAGATAGTATCAGTAATAGTTTTCTTCAGTTTAAATGAGGAAAAAAGAAAACACCAAAAAAGGCATTTAAATACTCTCCATGTTATTGCTGCTTCCAATAATTTTAATGCATATCCCTTTTGACACCAGGTGCACACTGGATAATGAAACACCAGAGTAGTAAGAGCGAGTATATAAAACTAAAAGAGGAGGATATGCAATGCAATGTTTGCATTCCATTCAGCTGCACCATGAATGGTCATGTTATCCACTTCTTCAGTTCCCCCCGTCTGGACACACACCACACAGCATGACAGCAACAAATTTCAATAGGATCTGGTTATGCAAGGGAGTCCTGAGTTCACAGGTCACCAGGTATTTTCAAAACCTGTAGAACTCACTCATGATTAATCACACACTCATTAATGACAAGCATTATTTCTTAATAATGCCAACCACGTTCTGAGTCAACTATGCATGGGTAATAGAGATGGTCCATCTCCTCAGCTGGCAGCTGTGCAATAATGCCATACTTCATATGTACAGATGTAATCAGTTTATTTCTACATCCATGTTCACTATTTCACCAATATTTTGGTGGTGAAAATTCCATGCCAGCCTTAGAAAAGTCTGCACTCATGACCCGTGGGGAAGAATGCTTCAGAGAGCTCCTGTTTTGTTTTTGAACGCAGAAATCAAATCTATTCCTTCCCTAAATGTCAAAAGAGTTCTAACTTCAGGTGGTGAAGAAGAACTAAGACCAAATTGCTCATTCCAAGTCTTTACAGAGACACATAGGAAACTGATACATGTGAAGACTAAATGTTAGTTATTCAGTGTTAAAATTTATGAAAGTGTGGCTCTGCCCTAGTGGTTCATTTGCCAGAGAGGAACTCTACATTATGACTTCTGAAATCAAAAGGACAAATATTTCCTGCAGGAAGAAAATGATTCCAGTATAGCAATTTCCAACAGATGGAGAAATCAAATAAAACATTTGGCATTTTCTTACAAGTGGCATATTCTTTTCACACTTGGGTAACCTATAACCTCTTGTCTTGTAACAGAACTTGTCTCGCTGGGAAGCAGAGATCCGTGCTGAGAGAGGCTTCTCTCCACAAAGTTAGTGTCAAAGAGCAGGATGGGCACAAATCTGATGGGACCCAGCCTTTCCCATTAGGCCAGTTAGCATTTATCTCTGTGTTTACTTCTTTTTTTACAACAGGACTGATGGGAGACTGCAATTCTAAGTGCTTTTCAGACCAACAGGACATGCCAGCAAGGCCATGCCACAAGCAGTGAAGTGGCAGTGGGAATCCACATGAAAAACCCTAGCTCTAAATAAAGTTTCCCATAAAATACTCAAAACTTTCTAACAAGCCTCCTCTGCTGGTATCAAGTGGCAAAATATACACACACAGTAAAAATATTTTATGGAGATGCTGCTAGTTGCAGTCTTGTCTTCATACCTTTCTTTGTGTCTCACAGAGCATAGGTCTGTTGTTAAAAGAAAGAGTAAACCTCAGCATTCCCATTTAAAAAAAGGCATGTTATGCCCCACTCCCCCCCTCTGATCAGGTAAAAATTACTCAGACCTGGTAAAAAAAGGTCATATCATCCCCCCACTCTGATCAGCAGTATACTCAGACCTGGTAAAAAAAGGTCATATCATTTACACAAGAATATGAAGCAAAAAAGCAAAACCAAACATATACAAGAATATGAAGCAAAAAAGCAAAACAAAACCAAACCAAACAAAAAAAAACCCCAAAATTACCACACACAGCTTCTTTTAAAAAACAAACAAAAAATTGGGAAGAATAAAAATGTATCTTAACCTGGAAAAACCTCAAAAATAGAAATGTCCCCCAGAGTAAAAATCTGAGTGCTCTGACCTAATTTGAGACATCTGATGATAGTTTTTAAGTCAATCAGCTTTAGTAAGTAGTGTGCCTGATGATTAAATATTCTGAGCCATGTCTAAGGCAACACAATCACCACACAGATCAGAACTTGTTAGTCATGCCAACATCCCTCTGACTCAAATGCCCAGGAAATACCACACTTGGAGAAAATCTGCCCATTTCAGTTGAAGTTGCTCACATCTGCAAAGTAACATCCCAGAAAAAATGAATCTTAGTGAGAACTGCTCTGCAGACAAGAGGAGGGCATTTAGGTCTGAATAGTCTATTCTAGACGAGTCAATTTTGCACTTACATTTTGCTGTTTAAACACAAAGAATTTATTCTTAAAGCATCAGAACACTCTTGGCTTGAGCCATCTTTGCTTCAAAAGCTGTACACTGAAGAAGAACAACTCCAAAGCAAATGTCTTCAGAAATAGCTTTGTGAGGATTTTAGGTTGGTTTTGTTTTTTTTTTTCCATCCCTACAGTTAATGTCTAATGAGAGATAACAACAGTACAGGAAGGAAGAGACGGATGTTTGAACGTGTACATACACAATCTACCTCCCCAAAACCCCACTCCAGAACATTTGAGGACTATGCATGGGAAATACTGCAGAACACAAAGTGCTGTAATTTTCACCTCTGCAAGCACGAACACACATTAGGAAAACATGAACAATATTTAACTGACAACTCAACTAAAATTAATATTCTAGTTTGAATGTTGCTATTCCGTACTCTTTCTTTAACCTTCAAGTAAGTGATTGCCAGAGTTGTGCAATACAGAAATGTGAACAGATGGATATGAGCATTACTATCTGCCTGGAACCTTAATAGGAGCACTACACTGCAGATGGGAAAGCCACATCCCTGTCAGCCTGGAGAACTCTTGTTCCTTAGGACAAGAAAGAACTTTTTTTCTTTTTTTTTTTTTTTTTTGAGCCTGGAGAACTCTTGTTCCTTGGGACAACAGAGAAATTTATTTATTTTTTTTTTAGGTAATAAAATAGAGCATAATAGGCTCTGAGGAGAATAAATACAGAATTACAATCTCCACTTAGGCTAGGGCTGAGAGTAAGAATGAAAAAAGGAGTCAACGTGCATAAAACAAGCAATGAGAACTTGAAGGCAGCTTTGGCTACTTACCTTTTTTCTGCATTGCTGTTCTAAGGTCTTGTTTGCTTTGCTGGTGTTGGCCACTAGCCATTTTCTCTCCATCATCTTCATCATGACTAGACTGCCCAACAGTGAGAATCTGCACTTGGCTTCCTATCTTCTGAACATCATCTTGAAAAGCAGCTGGGCCATCAATCCCTGTCAGACAACAGCAAAAATCTTAGCTGTCTTTGTGTCAAGAAGTTATTGAAAAGATAATTGCCCACTTACAAAAAGCATCTTTTCTAAGAATCAGAGATCAGAGGTTCACATTCAATAATACTTCTAGACCTAAACAAGACTAAACTAGCCTCCAAGGCAAACATCTTACTTCCTACATATTGCACAAGAGAATCTTCATGAGGTGATCAGGATTCCACTGTTGCCCTGCTCATCCCCAAAGCACATCCAGGCACCAGAAACATTGAAAACTACACAGAAAAGAAATTCACTGGAGCGGATCGACAAAGAAAACAGATACAGCTTTCATAAGGAGACACAACTGGTCCAGAAACAGATGATGAGTCCCAGATTATGCCATATTCCCTAATAAACAACACTGCTATTATGAAACAATGCTTTAAAGTTTCAGAAACCAGGAAAATTCCCAAGTAGATCTAGTAGTGTATACAAGAGGAAAAGCAGCACGTTACCAAGCCTAAATATGCCTAATGAGTTAGTAAATTTTTATAGAGTTAAAACATCAGCATGAAACTATAAATAACATAATACTTATTCCCTGGAACCTCCATCCTCTGAGATGCTCTGTCCTGGTTTGAGGTAAAACAGAACTAATTTTGTGTTCAGTCATTTTACTTTTTCAACTCTAATGTCATATTGTTCAGAGACTGTTCACTGTCACAGTGGTGAGACCTCATTATTCCAAGGAATGGTATGTAGAAAGGCCCTTGCTTACACTTATTGCTATAACAACCAAGGTCAGCTAACTTCGTTATTTGTCCCACTGGAGGGTCGGCAGTGGAAAAGTGTAGAGGGGTCACACCTGTGGGGAGGAGTGGACAGGAGAGGTGACCCACACCTGACCAACAGGGTATTCCATCCCATCCGCATCATGCTAAGTATAAAAACTGAGGGCTCAAAGGGTCAACTCTCTTTCTTCAATGGCCAAAGTCCGAGGAAGACCCTGTCTGTTTGTCTGCCTTTGATCCCAATCTGAGCACTCCTGACTGCAGATCCAGAATCCAGCTCTTGTCCATCACCAGGTCCAGTCTGGGACTTTGCCCTGTGCCTGCTGGTGATCATCATCACACAGAATTACACACACAGAATCACACAGAATCTTCTAGGTTGGAAGGGACCTTAAAGATCATCTTGTCCAACCATCAACCTAACTGACAAAAATAGACACCCGCACAAGAAACAAGGAGCATCATCACTAAACCAGACCTCCCAGCACTACAGCAACCTGTCTTTTGAACACCTCCAGGGATGGGGCCTCAACCACCTCCCTGGGCAGCCCATTCCAATGCCTGAGAACCCTTTCACCAACTCCAGATCCAGAATCCAGCTCTTGTCCATCACCAAGTCCAGTCTGGGACTTTGCCCTGTGCCTGCTGATGATCATCATCCTGGGAGCCTGAAACAATTCTGTATATACCATATACCCTTTTTTCCCCCTTTTTAAAATTTTCTTATCATTATTTATTAATATTTTCATTAAAGTAGTTTATTTTCTTTCCTAAACTCATCAATCTCTTTATCTCTTCCTTTTTTATCCTAAACTCATCAATCTCTTTATCTCTTCCTCTCCTCTCCTTTTCTTAAAGAGGGGAGGGAGATGCCGTCTGTCGTTCTGGTTGGTTCAGTCCAGTCAAAACCATGTCTTTTCTTAAAGAAGGGAGGGAGATGCCATCTGTCATTCTGGTTGGTTCAGTCCAGTCAAAACCATGACATGCTCAAATCTTGACCTGGGCAACCTGCTCTGAGCATGGGTGTGGGACTAGACAGTCCCCAGAGGTGCCTTCCAGCCTCAGCCATGCTGCGATTCTGTGGCTGCTGGTGACAGCCAGAAATTAACTATTTACCTCCTTATAGCTGTAAACCACCTCTGAAGACAGAAAAAAATGAAAACATGGGGTTGGGGCGTGTTCTTATCACAAGCTAACTTCATTTTTTTTCTTCAGGACAGCAAGTTAAAAATTCAGGTTGCAAATGTGCTTTAGCTCTTAGTTAAGACTTAGTGCTGGTACATATTACTAAATTAGCTATACAAAAATGCACTTCTGCATCAATAAAAATGGTAATATTATCATGTACATACATAGTAAATAACATAAGCCTGTACACTGGTGCTGTTGTGAAATTGTGTTCTTACCACAAGCTAACTTCATTTTTTTTTCTTCAGGGCAGCAAGTTAAAAATTCAGGTTGCAAATGTGCTTTAGCTCTTAGTTAAGACTTAGTGCTGGTACATATTACTAAATTAGCTATACAAAAATGCACTTCTGCATCAATAAATATGGTAATATTATCATGTACATACATAGTAAATAACATAAGCCTGTACACTGGTGCTGTTGTGAAATTTTTGTTAATAAGCAAGCAACATTGTGGAGAGTGAGCAAGCATTACAAAGAGCTAGTTCAGTAGAAGAATATGGTGCTTCTTACACCAAACAGCTGAAAAAATCCTGTAAGAAGGAGCTGTAGGGATTGGGATTTTTTCCAGACTGACCTGTAGCAGGAGCCTCCCAACCTGTTTTGCCAGCAGCTGTCAACTTGCATTAAAAGACAAGTGGGTTATGCATTCAGGATGCTTAACTGTACTTTGCCATATTTGCCACTGCGATACGAAGCACAAGTAGAAAGGAGAGTGGCTCCCACCCCCAGGAACAGGGACAGCTCTGGCTCTGCAACTACCAAACAAGATGCAGTCTGACACCACACAAGCACTAAATTCACAGGTGCATTAAAAGACAACTGGGTTATGCATTCAGGATGCTTAACTGTACTTTGCCATATTTGCCACTGCGATACGAAGCACAAGTAGAAAGGAGAGTGGCTCCCACCCCCAGGAACAGGGACAGCTCTGGCTCTGCAACTACCAAACAAGATGCAGTCTGACACCACACAAGCACTAAATTCACAGAATTCAAGACCACAAGGAATTACTGACTCCTCTGCATCACACAGATCCTTATCCGGCAATTTTTGCACCAACCCTGTAAATTCTGATTTACTTACCAGAAAACTCAACTACCACCAACAAATACGCGATCTGTCCATCCAACCTTGAAGGAATAAATAAAGTCTTTGGAAATGTTTCTCTCATCTTTGTGGGGTGATAATTTCAGACACAAGCTCTGTGCAATACGGAATGAACAGTATAATTTCCTATGCTGCAGGTATGATATAGCAGTGAACAGAATACCATTTTTCTTAAAAGTTATCTCAGGATAAACACTACAGCAAAGGGGCTATAGAACAGACAAGTAGCCGCTCAGACCCACTCTAGTATTTTTAACAACTTTAACAATATTAACCATTATCATTAAAGTGGCTGCCTAAAGCTAGATTCTTACCTTAATACTCTGAATTTCAATAGTGTTAAACATCCACGAGTTTAATAAGATGCTCATACCTCACACATATCTCTCTAGCCCCTTATTAAGCTTTAGACGATACAAACCTAATTTTGAGAACCCATTTCAAAAGGAGCAAAACACCTTAATTATTCTTCTTCTTCAAAGCAGACATTGATCTGCAGCAAATGAAATGCCTCTGACATTGCAGCGGGGCTGGTTTTTTCCTGCTGCCTGCAGAACATCTGCGCTCACATCCTGTGCTGGCAGGGACATCACGTATTATTGGGCGTTAGGACAAAGGCTACACTGGCAGGTCAGACTTTTAGAGAAGAAAAATCAATTTCGGTATTCTGAAGAGCGCAGCACTGGTAGAGTGTGTTATTAAGCGTTATGAATGGTTCCACTGGTGACCCCATTTAAGGGAATGGAAGATGTAGCCAGACAGAGAGGAAAAAAAAAAAAGACACACCAAACTGCTGCATTTGAATACTGGAGATGGCTCGTGGTAAATGCAGCATTAACTATTTAATATTAGTTCATGGCCACACATCGTTTTAGCTATGTATGCATGTGTAAAAGGATATTTAATGCAAGCATACATACACATTTCTCTATATCATGAGATATAAGTGTATCTTTGCAAGTCACAGTTCAAAAGGCAGCTTTACCATCCCATACCTAATGCCTGAACACGCTTCCAAGCCTGCATAGTCCTGATACTCAAGGTGGATCTCTCCTTATGTTCTCACTTTCTTTGCCTCGCTGACTCCTTTCCACCCACTTACTGGAAGGATGGTTCACTGGGCAATAAAACAAACCATTAATGCCTATCGTTACAAGCTTCCCAGTTTAAGGACAGGGTCAAAAGAGGCAAAGAAGCTGAGCAGGCTGTGCCAAAAAGGAAGTCTTTTTTTGCAATGGTCAGCATTTTCTACAGCTTTTCCCAAAAATTAGGTAGAAAAAAAACCTGATAGAGATGCCCTTGAATGCCTGCTAAGAAGAAAAGGGAATTTTTGTGAGGTAACTGTGAGGGAGGGAAGGGAAGAATGAGGAAGACTGAAAAAACTCCCAGACTACTACTCCTTTCAGTAAATGGTGAATTTTGACATGGTCATGTCTCAGATGAAACCCACAGGTACTAGAAAAGAAAACAAGGAGATAATGAAAAAAAATGTATCACAAAACTGACATTCACTGAAATTTCCATGCTATAAACTACTATTTATCAATGCCTGTATTCGGTTGGCACCTAAAATCTTCTAGACGTATTTACAAATAGACAGTACCATTCTTTTAAAAGCTGGTAATCTAAACAGCCACACAGAATGTTTTTATAACCTGAATTCATCTAAATTCTAAAAAATTCAGAATACATTAAGTGGGCATGCACTTAACTTTGATCTCAGTTATAAGACTTTTAGATAGGTGGGGGTATTTTTTTGCTTTTGCTTTACACACACAATGTTAAAGATCTACACAATAAAAAAAAAAAAACCCAAAACAACCCAAGATCCAAGTCAGGAATGAGGGGAGAGAGAAGAAAGTAAGGGAAAAATAAAGATGATAAATGCTGCTGAAAGCCTTGGGAAAGAATAAAGTGGCAAAATTTCGTTTAG